CCAGGATGTGATGTAAATGACCAGGATGTGATGTAATGTCCTTCAAACAGGTCAGAATGAGGCTGAGCGTTGGGTTTGGCCTCCATGACCTCCCTACAACCTGAACCACCTGTGATGGTGGAGGAGTCCGTCTGTGAAAACACCACCAACATTCAGAGGGACCAAAACACAGACCTCCTCAGTGTGGGGGGGGGGGGGGGGGTGAACACAGGCGTGTTATTTTATACGTTTTATTTATTTTATTGGGTCTGTTTTTGTCCAGTTTAATGTATAATCTTTGACTCATCTAAACTTTTCTTTTTCTTTGTTTGTTGATGTTCTTCCACTATAGATTGTAAAGAATAGAGTTTCTTTTATTCATTTCAGTGACACCAGATGAAGGCTGTGAACCTTTCATTTATGGTAGGTGTGAAATGAAATTTTAAAAAATGTTTTATTTTTCTAATTACATTTTTTCCAAAATTTGCTTAAAATTTTTTTCAATCGGAAAAACAGAAATTTTAAATAAAAATGAAAAGATAACATTTATAAAAGGAAAACATAAACAAATCAAATTTGAAAGAAAATGATAAATTGTTATAACAAAACCGTTTTTGATCACTAGCATATGTTGGGATCTGGAGGTCTGTCCACCTTCCTCCAGCAGAGGGCGCCTCTAGGTCTCCTGGAGCTGAGCTGACGACCACACCTGCGATCCATCTGTCATCAGGAGACCAGCATATAAGCAGCAGCAGGACTACACTCCAGCGCCAGAGTGTTAAGCCAGTTATGGTTAGCGAAGCCTGAGCCAACCAGCCTGTCTGATTCTCTGACTTCCCTGAACCTTGAACTTGAACCTAATCAGTTGTTTGTCTTCTCTGCCTCCTAGGAAGAAACCTGACTGAACACTGGAACTCTGGAAGAGTTTCCTCTGCTGAAATCAGCCTGCCGGCTCTCTGGAGCTCACCTGAAGAAACTAACTGCCTGAACCTGCCTGCCCGCCCTCAAGAAGAGGATCGGAAGAAGACTCTGGATCTGAACACTGATAAGTCTGAAGTCGAGCCCTGCCGTTGCTTAGCCCTCTGCCAACTTCTAGCCTCTGGACCCACCCAGTTCCCCTCCTCCGCATCCTGGCTAACCTAACTGTCCTTCTCTACAGAGAACCCTGTGTGACCAGTCCCGGATCTGTTTCTCTGATTAACTCATATTACTTGTGTTTATCTTCAATAAACAGTCAAACTTTTCATCTGCCTCCGTTGTGTTCTGCATGTGGGTTAGATCCCTGAACCCCATCATGACAGCATTCGCCTTAAAAAAATCAAATAAATGTTTCTATCACTCTCAGAGTGTTTTTCATGAATTTCTTATAGAAGCACTTTGGTTATTTTTCTTAATATATTCGGGCAACTTGGCGTTTCTTACATCAAAATATCCATACTTTTTGAAATGTACAAATGTAATAAGGTCTTGTCCTGGATTCCAGTAACACTAGTGGCTTAAAGTTTTAATTTTTAAAGTATTTCACTGAGTGTCCTATAAAAGGTTAACCCCACACTGCCCCCCCAGGCAGCCCACTGCTCCCCAAGGGGGATGGGTTAAATGCAGAGAGGGAATTTCTCCATAAATAAAGGGATTTACATTTAAACCAACACGGAGTAAATATCCGTGTAGATCGCAGCCTATTTTATAAATCAAGAAGAAAGGAGTGAAAACAGGGTTCTGCTAAAGGTGCCTACTGGGGTTCGCTCATTTCTAAAAAGACTGCAGTCGACTAATTCTACATCAGTGTCCCACAAAGGGGCTGCACATAGGTGAAGTGGGTATCCCGGCTGCTTTGCAGCGAGAAGGTTCTGGGTTCGATTCCCATCCGATGTCTTTCTGCATGGGGTTAGCATATTCTCCCTGAGCATGTGTGGCTTTTCACT